ATATTGCAACGTAGGCTGCTACAAGAAGCTTCTAATGGCAAGTGACGAGTTCTACACAGTGAGTTTTTTTCTGTTAATTATTTATTTCAGACTGTGTAACAAAGTATTTGAGATTCATATCAAGTTTTTTGGGGTTTCGCAACGTTAGAATTTTTTTATCCGACTCCGACACGTTTGTATCTGCAGCTGTGGTAACTAGAGAAGAGCTGGCAACCCGAATGCCGCACCACTACTGACTCCGTGATTGGTAGATCGGTGGAGGGAACGCATCAGAACCAAACACAACTTGACGACATCAACATCAGTCAAGGGCTGCGAATTCACTTTTTAAATGACAACATCCTGGCCGAACTACTGTTGTCAGCAATTATTTTATCGGCGGGCTAAGTTTTGCACAGAAATGTAAGATTTTTTTCCCACCCTCACCGACCTTCTCATTAAACTCGTTTAAATGATCATACGATGTGACGCCTCCTCGATGCTTTGTCGACTACATGCTGCTTTTCGCTTTGATGACGCATGCGGCAGCCGCGGTGCGACATTGGTGACTGGTGTTGCCATATTGGGTGTTTTCTTCGCTACATATTAACTTAAGGTCTGTATTCGTTCGTGTGTTTAGCCGGGGTTTCGCCTGGAAGGCTCTGTAGACATATGGCACCCTATAGAAAGAAATTAAACTGAGAGAGCGTGCGTGTAGTACAGTACGTTCAGTTCACGTTCGCCCAAAATATGAGATGGTTCTCACTGCAGAACATGAAACCCACGGGGAGGAGTCGGATCCAGATCTTGTTAAAATTACAAATGACTTCCTTCTAGCTTCTGTTAGAACAGTTATACATTTCATCACGACCAGTTGAAATCTCTAAATTATCCAAGTTGACAGAGTGTGGTAAAGATATAAAGTATTGGATGACCAGTAATTTTGTTCTTATAAATTTGGATAAGACTGAGGTATTATCTTTTGGACCAAAAACCTGTTCACAGAATCTCAGGATGTACTGTTACTTCATCCTCTACAGTTAAAGAACTTGGTGTTATATTTGACATCAACTTGTCTTTTGAAAGTTGTATTTTATGTTACAAAAACAGCCTTCTTCCACCTCAGAAACATCGCTAAGCTATGGAACATGTTATCTGTTTCTGATGCAGAAAAGTTAGTTCATGCATTCATGATCTCTTGACTGGATTACTGTAATGCATTACTAGCTGGTTATCCTGCATCCTCAATCAACAAACTACAGTTTGTACAAAATGCAGGTCAAGAAAGTATGATCATATAACCCCAAATTTATCATCCCTACTGGTTTCCTATTAAGTTCTGTATCGATTACAAAGTATTGGTACTGACCTATAAGGCCCTAAATGGCTCACACTTCATCACGCTCTTTAAGGTCACACAGCTCTGGACTTTTAGTAGTACCTAGGATATCAAAATCCACAAAAGGAGGGAGAACATTTTTGTTAGTACTATAAATCATTACTTTGACACAGTCACCTCAGATCACTCTAAATTGTAATGTAGACACATGCATTTTTTCTGTAAAGTTGCATTGAAACGATTTGTATTGTTCTATTTATTAAATCTCATCAAGTTAGTGTTTTTATATTTATTTTAAAAATTATTCCCCCCCCCCCCCCCACACACACACACATGTTTTCAGGCCATTTCAAGTTTGATTTTGGCATGACATAAAGCAATGATAAGTGGGTGAGTTGTTTACCTACTTTTTAATTAGTCTTCCCATTAAACTTTTTATCTTTATATATATAAATATCTTGCCAATATGTCTTGCAAAATAAGTCAAACCTCAATTTAATCCAAATTCTAATCTAAAAACTGAGATTTAACATCTTTTAGATTTTAAAAAGACAAATAGGCCACTGATTAAAGGTTTGAAACTCTCTTCACGTCCTGATAACAATTAATAATAGAAGGGGTCTAAATATATTTATAAAATATTCTGTATCTTTTCTGTATCTTCTATGGAAGTCTCAGGACCAAACATGTTTGTTGAAACCTGAACCCTACCCAACACCCTAACAGGCAGGTTTTGCGACCTTTTGGCACGCTCATTTCTCTGGCCTGTAGATACCCACACTATGAAAATGCACACCCATTGGCAGATTAATCATATGGGCAATTGGGCAAGTGCCCAGGGGCACCAAGCAAATATTTTTTCTCATTTAAAACAAGCGATTCACTATCAAACGTATTTCTAGCCTAGGTCTATAGATACCCTTTCATCAGAACATTCTAAATTCCCTGAATGTTTTGTTGAAAGTTTATTATTTTCATTATTTTCTACATTTTTTTTTCTTGTGGTCGTGCGATCTAGGTGCCAGTGCTCAGGGGCACCAAAGAGTCGCAAAATAATTAAGGCAAGGAGAAGCGATAATATATAAAATTGCATCTTATGTCAGAACTCGTCAACATCTGTAAACAAGCACACAGAGTAAATGCAAACAAACACATTTAACATAAGAAGATATAGATTTTAATATCTTTATAAAGTTTTTTTCCTGTTTTTTTTTTTTGAGAACGACTCGTTAAACCATCAAATCACTAGGATGGAGAGACACAGAAGAGAGAGAAAGGGAAGGACAAGAGGAGACTGGGTTGTGCAGTTTAGTCAGAAAATGGTGCCCTACGGACAGACCAAATTAATGTTTAAACAAAAACAGAAAAATCAAAAGAAAGTAATATTAAAAATAATAATTGCATTCTGAAGAGAAGTCCTTCAGAGATTCAGGAACCCTGTTGTAATCAAAAATGTCATTAATGATGTCAGTGTCATAGTACTGATTAATATTTCCATTGCAGATTGTGATGATACAGTTCTCCTTATTTTTACAAAGTGTGTCTTAGAACAGGAGTCGTAGTTCTCCTGTATTCCACAGCATCTGTGACGGGCAACCTGACGGTCTGTCGTCCATAATGTCCCGAGTGTTCACGTGATTGTCCCTCTCCTTGACTCGTATTTGCATTCACAGCAGACACTGTAGAGGCAATCAAGCAGGCCTATGGCTCCAAAAGGTCTTTTTTTTTGTGGCCATGCTAAATTTGAAATGTGTTTTTGTCATCAAGTCTCTTAAAGATACATTTAGTTTTCATGTGTGTGTTTTTATTTGTCGTTTTCTTTTTTTCTTCTCTGTCTTGTTAAAACAGATGATTTCACACCGCTTTAAGAAAGAGAGGTGTCTATGTTTTCGATGGCGGGCTTAGGCTGAAGGCGCTTTTCAAAATAGAGTTCACTTCAATTAGACCTGTGTCCCCTCCAGAGTCCACACCCCCATCAGCAGTCCATTTCTAAGTCCTCTGAGTCACAGCCAAACAAAACAAACAACACAGAGGACAAGAAACAAACACAACTCTAATTTTTTTTCATAGCTTTTTATACTGGACACGCACACACACACACACACACACATACTGAGTTTTTTTTTTTTTTGAAGCTGATGAGGTAAAATGGGACTCATTTGCTTCTATAAACAATATAGCAGCTAGTATAACCATTGGCTTTTATGTGCTGTTATAAACAGTACAATCCAAAACAAGAATGAATCACCTGAAGTCACTTTTTAGAGCAAAGGTAAAGGAAATCTGAAAAATAAATGCAGGAAGGTATTGAAAGGAAACAAAAATCCATCTAAAGTGAAAATATGTTGGTTTTGGGCCTTACCTTTTCTGAGGTAAAGATCATATATGTGCTTTTAACTGGTTATTCCGTTCATAACACTGTTTCATTTCATACAATACCTTTGTTTTGTTTCACATCTTTCAGTGGAATATTTCAACCACAAAGAAAGCAAGTCCTGCTAATGGTTGAAACTTATCTTAGGAGACCGTACACCAATACATTTGGCAATAATGTGATAAATTAAACAAAGGGCAATGTACTTTTACTATGTTTACAATATACATTTCATTTGATGGTATTCTATATGCTTGTTTGGTGTTAGTAATGTTACACATATCTTCACATATCTATGTTGCTTGCTTGGGTCTCATATCACACATTCTTTCTACACATTAGGGCTTTTCACACTGCGCATAACCCTGGGTTATCCTCATTCTAAACTGCTTTTAACACAGAGTAAAGAAACGTTTCACACTTGTTTAGATGCAGGGTTAGCACCGCTTTTTACCCGAGGTCATGAAACCCTCCTCCGGAGCAGTGTTAACCCCACATTGCAGTGCCAAACTTGTACAGTGTGAAACGATGCAGGGTTAGAATGTTAAAGCTGGATGATTTAACCTTGCAACAGAGAACCAGTCGCATACGTATATGCATGCTTTGTACAGTCACGGAAACACTGCACACTGAAGCGACTGTTTTGTTCTTACCTTTATAGTCCAAAGTATCCATTCAGTATAAACTCAATATTATAGTCGGCAATACAAGGATGCGCAATTCTTGAGCTTTTATGTAAACAGCTTTTGTGTTGCATTCATCCAATCAATAGCCCCTTGCATACAGTCTTTAGTGGTAAATTACCAGTAAGAGATCATGTGAGAACAGGACCTTTTCAAAAATACCGGTACATCAGTTCTGGCAATTTACCAGTGATGGAAGTTGTAACATTACCAGTAAATTATCGGTAATATGCTCTAGAGCCAGACCGATATATCGGCCAGCCGATATTATCGGCCGATATTAGGCATTTTCCAAAATAACAGTATCGGCAGTTATAATGGCCGATAAATGAATTTTTAAAAAATAAAAATAAAAACGGATGAAACATGCTTCAATCATCTCTCCTTGTGGAAACTAAATAAATAAATAAATAAACTGGCTAAATAAAGTAATGATTACTGTATTTATAACTAGCATATCTCTAGTTACAGTCCCTGTATTGTAAAATGTAAGTTATACTTGCGAGGAGTGAACATTTAGACATAGATAAAAAGTATCAAATGTATCTTGTGCAGAAAAGTTAGTTTTTTTTTTACACATGTGTGAAATCCAACAATACTTAATAAAAAAAATATCGGCCGATATATCGGAATATCGGATTTTAAAACCCAAAAATATTTGTATCGGTATCGGCCTTCAAAATCCTTTATCGGTTGGGCTCTAATATGCTCTGTGTGAACACAGAATGAATATCAGCGGTATGAAACACGTACTGTATATAGTCAAAACATGCTGATGTAAGAAGTCTGCTTCGAGCCAATCAGAGTTCTTATGGAGATTATGTGATTATCTAATGGAAAAATAGTTTTTCTATTTAAATATGGGCTAGATGATCATTTTGACTGTTGCTCCTGGACTCGCAGCTTTTTCAACGTGTTGCGCTCGAGATTGCTTTTTCAACGTGTTGCCAGCCCGGGATTTATGTTGGGTTGTTTGTTTTATTATGTGACACCAGACATCCTTGAGGGGCTGCTGTCTTTTACTTTCGTTTTGTAATTGCTTTGTTATTACATTCTTAAAATTTTCACCGGTTCCCACCTCCTTCTTACCATAACATCTGAACTGCGTTACACACATATTTGTGTATTTACGGCTAAAGTCATTCTGGTAATTTTACCGGGATTGCTGTGTGAAAGGGACTAATGATACTGACCCTGCAAATATGCAAATAAGAACGTTAACCCAGGGTTTAGGAATGTTCAATATGAAACTTCACTTTATGAAACCCAGGATTAATTGTTTACCCAGGGAAAAATATGAGCAGTGTGAAACGTGAAGCAAGATAACCCAGGATTCAGTTTACCTGGAGTTTAGAATGACCCAGGGTCATTTTTGATTGTTTTCCTTTTAGAAGGAGAGACCAGCCCAATAGGAAATGGGGGGGGAAAAGCAACGGTGGCAGTGCAAGCATGTTCGGTTTGCTTTACTATTCTTCTTTTTCCCCAACCCAAATTTGAGTTTATAACATCCAGTGTTCAGTTTTCATCTATTTCAGTCTAAATGGCAAAGCTCCTTATACAATGTATTACACTTTATCACTCACACATACACACACAAACATACACACATTAGTAGGCCTGGTAATGCTGGAGCTAGAACTGATCTGAGGACTGCGGTGTATCCATGATAGTCCAATACTGAGTTCAGCGCAGAATGAGCACAAGCATTCCCAGAATACTAGAGAGAAAGAGATTTGTATGGTGAGAGTGTCCACAGTTGTTGGCTTGCTTGACCCCACTTGGGGGACGCACAGAGGTCCGAGGGGTACATTTGTGCTTTCTGCGGGTGTTTGAACCATCGGAAGATGTTTCATCATATTTCCCCGTGAAATCGGGTGAGGAATACTCCTTATCCGCCATCTCTTTTAAGATATGGACCTCGTTGGGTCCTTTTCCCTTTCTGCCTCGGACACGTTGGCGTGTGCAGTTCCGAGAGCGGCCGGGTCTTTGAGCAGGGTCTGCGCCCGGAGACCCTCCTGGTCCTGCTAGTACACCATTTATGGCAGGGGGTGGCTGGGGCAGGGGAGAGGGAGGAGAAGGGTATTGTTCATTCAGTTGGGGGTGGTGTGGGTGTGTTTGTGGAGGCTGGGCAGGATGGGGCTCCTGCTTCAGTGAGACCTTATCTGTTCCTGCCCAAGTCTTGGTCTTACTCTGGTGCAGGGACTCAGATCCGGAACAGTTAGGGAAGTCTTCTTTCCTCAGTTGTTTCAAATCTTTGCCTGCCAGTTCTGCCGGTGCCAAGCAACCCACTGATGACGTGGACCCCCGGAACTTTTTGAGCCAGTCCCACAGTGATAAAGCCTTACAGTCACACTCCCAAGGGTTGTCGTTGAGGCGAAGGTACTCCAGGGCAGGCAGCTGGGTCAGACACTCTCCAGCTAACTCCGTCAAGGAGTTGTTGAACAAATAGAGAGTAGTAAGTCGTCGCAGGTCGTGGAATGCCAGACGATCCACCCACTGCAGTTGGTTGTGGTGCAGGAGCAGCCTGTCCAGAGCCCCCAGTCCCCTAAATGTGTTTTGGTGTAGGCTCCACAGACGGTTCCCGTGAAGAAACAGGTGGCTCAGGTTGTGCAAGTCCACGAAAAGATCATCCTGCAGATACTCCAAATGGTTGTCCTTCAGACACAGAAACAAAACAGTGTTTATATCTTTACTTCAATAGTACAGGATAACCTACATTGCTGTTTAATTTTTTTTATATACAAGCAGCTATGTGTGTGTCTCACCTGCAGGTACAGATACTGGAGGTTGCGGAGACCCTGGAAGATGTCGTTCGGCAGTGCACTGAGGCCACAGCGGTATAAATGGAGGGCATGGAGCCGGCCCAGCCCATGAAAGGTTTCTGCAGACAGTGAACGTAGGTGGCGATTGTCTCCCAGGTCCAATTCCTCCAGCAATGTGAATCCTTGGAAAGTTGATGGCTCGATATATGTGATATTGTTGGAGTAAATCCACAGAGTGACCGTGGTAGGGCTAAAGTGGCCCCGCAGTAGTCGATGGATCTTGTTGTTTTGGAGGAAGATGCGTTCACTGTGTGGGGGAATGCCTTCTGGGACGGACAGGAAGTTGTGGGCTTGGCAGCTGACAGTGCTGGGGGCCATGTAGCAAATGCAGTGACGTGGGCAAGACCAGGAGAGCTCTAGTCCGCAGAGTACCAACAGGAACTCCAGCCCACAGCCTAAAAAGAGATAGAGAGAAAAACAGAGAGACTTAGTGTTTGCTATGTTGAACCTACAATACAGAATTTATGATACAAATTTAAATTAGTTCATGAATAAATTCGCTGTTTGAATTTGTTCTGCAATGGCAGACAGCGACCAAGGCAGCTCTGGCATAATGTCAATAACACTTTTTACTTAAGTACAAAATAAGTGCTAGTTATTGAGGTAAACCTGCCTAAATTACTGAAAAAAAGGTACCGTTGGGTACCGGCTGCAAATTTCCGGTTAAAATATGAACGGTACCCAACCCTAGTCTGTAGGGATAGAGCTGTGAGTGGGATAGATGCAAGAATACACAGAAGAAAACATTTACAGATCCTAGTAAACTTTGTGATGATGAGTGACCAAAACAAAGTTCCTGAAACAAAGTACCATACTCGTAATTTCAACTTTATTAGTTGTTGAGGTTGGTTTGGTCTAAGATGGTCTTTTCAGCAGCAATGGTTGTGACTCAATGAAATAAGGTATGCCCTCTGAAACTAAGCCCATTTTGAAAAGGAAATAAACAATGACAAGAAAATAGAATAGTTTTTGAGATTCTGAGCCCTTCGGGGAAGCTGCAAAATCTGGTATTTTACAAGTATTTATTTTGTCCAAGTGTGTATAAATCTGGCTCACCCTGCTTCAGCTGAGACTGATCCCAGAGCCTACCAACAACCTCTCGAGTGCTTAGTTAAACCTGTGTTAAGCCTCTGAGAGGCATACAATACCCTTGCTGCTTTCTGACATGCTTCCTTGGAACCATTTTGTGTAACCTATCAACCAATTCATCTACGCACAGAATGGCAGAGAAGGAGAAAATTTTCCACTATTATGAGAGTCCCATTTGCTCATGAGCGCCGGCTCCCCCCGCCCTTCTATTAAAAGATGCATTATTCAAAGCATCATTCCTGTCATTCACTCAAAATTGATTCGCTCCTGCTGTCTCTTAACATCACCATAATCCTCCAGGTTTCTGCCTTCAAAATACAGAGGCAGGAATTACGCTTTTACAGGAGATGAGCGGATATTTATTGGAATAGCTTTCGACTCCAAATGTGTCTAAGCTATGGCATTCAGATGCAGACTCTGCTGACCTTTACCAATGATTCCATTGGCGTCTGATGACAGCGCCAGAGCAGCTTGCCTCACCTGCAAGTGAGTCTCGCTCCCAGAGTGGCCGTGTAATCCCATTTGTCCTAACAGCATGCCAAAATGAAATATGCCCTGACCAACTGACTAAATAAGCAACCGGAACCCTCTCAAGCTCCCCCTTGGGCCTTGTGCATACGTGCGGGATTAACAGAAAAATTGTTGTTGTTCTTGTAATGTCGGTCAGCAATGCTAAACAGTGCCCTTGAGAAGAATTAGATATTATTCTATTGATTCGTTACACATGGGCTTATCTGTTTCTTAACAAAAACTTGAAGAATTTAAGCCTGGATATGGTAAAAAAAAAAGAATTTTAGCACTGATAGCAAACATTTGATGGGAAACATGAGGATGGGATAGGTCTGGGTTTTTTTTTTCTCTCAGGTTATTGAGCATGAGGGATTATAGCCACCTATCTTTCCATACACTATCTCCACATTAAATCGGATAACAATCTGATGATGTCTGGTTCACAAGCCTCAAACAATCTCAGTGCTGTGTGTACAGCTGTGGGTTTGGGAATTACCTAGCTGAGAGGAACAGCTGAAAAGATAGATCGTAATAAACTCCTCATGTTTAAAAGATATAAAATAACGAGATCTGTAGTAATCCAATATTACTTACTGTTATCCATTCAGTAGGCTACTGGATTTTTTTTTTTTCATTCCTTCCCCATATGTTTTGTTAGTGTGACACCTGTCCTTTGAGTGAATGAGCGACAGTGTGTGTGTGCGCTGTGTTGCTTACGGAAAGTTAAGCTTCTGGGGATTTCAGCCAAATAAATCGGAAAAGACAAGACAAACAGAGCTGCTGAGCCTCTTCCCCTTATTTTCCTTACTTGCTGGCTGTTTACGTCTGTTTTCAAACCCCTTTGCATTAAACTTTGCATATCACATATAATGAAATTCTTCCTCAGCACTTTACATAATAGACTTATTCCTTTGGTGTAGCTCTGGCTTTTGTGGAGGCGTATCACCTAATCGCACATACTGTGCTTCCCTCTGTTTGTCTCAGCTTTTGTCACACTGCAGGTGTAATTATTTTCCTGAAACTCCTGCTTTTCCTTCCATTTTTATATAAAACTGTAACAGAACTGGGCATCGCCTTGTAGATAACAGCATGAAGTGAGAAAGATTTTTTTAATGTAATCATCACAAGCTAATCATGACCATCTAAAAAGCACTCAGAACAACCTAGGATGAAACTATGCAGTTGCTTGGTTCTCTGAATGTTTTCACTGTGCAACATGCGGTTAAACTAGTGCGTTTTTAGCATGATAGCATGCAGTTATTGGTTACCATGGTGGTTTCATGGTAATTGCTTGCACACTATATATTAAAGTATATCTGCCTCCATATCACACCATGCCTGAGTTGTCAGGTATGCATTAGCTCAATGTTATTTTGGTGAGGATTTTTTCTTGTCTTTTTTCCACCTTGCAATACTAAACTAAGTCCAGAGAGATCTGCTGCCTCGCACCTGTCACCTCCCTAATCCTGGTCCTCTTTCAGCCCTCTTGGAACCCTTACACACAGCAATTTACACCCTCCTCATCCAGAGACAAGTTGAGAGCAAAAATAGGGGAGGCCGGATATTTTTAGTGCTGTGAAGTGATGAGAAGTAATAATGAGAAGGAGTGATGGCACAGGGGCCAAGGGTTTGTCATTTACTGAATATATTTCAAAAGGATGAATATTGTCAATATTTTTTTGCCCTCAATAAGCCTGTCACCTGTCACAATCTGGTCCAGTGATGGGGAAGACTGATCCGAATAAGTTCAATAACTAATTTATTAAATTAAACGGAAAAAAGTAATCCACAGATGGGAATGGTCTGCATGTAAAACACAACAATACCAGACAAAGACTGAGAACCAATGAGGAACTTGAGTTCACAGCGCTGATGAACCAAATGATTTGTTTTGACCACTCAGTCTCAACAGTGCTTCGGTCAATAACACCAATCCCAGCTCCCAAAGCTCGGAGAGGGATTATGGTTTTGGAACAATGGAAGTCGTGTCGTTGTGCGTGGCATTTTCCTTGGTCTCATGCTATTGTAAGCCACCAATCTCACCCAGAACACTTCCTCAGTTCCTTCTTTTATTTTCCCTTTCATTGTCTGTCTTTTTTTTCTCAACCTTGCTACCACTTTTGAAGGCTTGTTAAGCTGAGGTTGATTAAGCGGCCTTCCACTGGGCTCGATGTTTGACCCCTTGACCCCCGGTCACCATGCCTTTTCATGCCATGCAGATTTTAAGCGTGGAAATAAATAAATAAATTAATAAAGGCATAAAACAGAATGGCTTCGGTCCCCAGACAGTCAGTGCAAAGTAAGTGCACAGAATATCAATGAAACATAGTTCACACTAAATTCGCCCTCATGAATAACACATGGTTGCTAATAGGAGAGAAATGGTCCGTCTGTTTCCCTCCGTGACTCTGCCCACCATTACACTGGATAAACTCAATTTCCTGTTTCTCTCTAAGGACCCTGATAAGCACTTGGCTGTTTGTTGCCTTGCTCGCACAAGTCCGCAAATGACATGCTTTCACATAATAGGTGTTCATGCTGATGTTCGCACATACACACAGTAGCTTTGACAATCAAGCTAATGGCAAAGCAATAAAGCTCTGCATTGATTGGTTTGAGCCTTGTTTGCATAGCCAAAGGGAAATCAAGTGAGTTTTTAGTCATTGCAGACAGTTATTTTCCAAGTTAAACTGTGGTTATACGTAGACAGACATTAGATGAATTAATCGTAGAGAGGTTAAAAACATGATCCCATGCTGTTTGTGAACTAAAGTGTAGTATTCGCTGTGTCGCACAAAAGCAAGATTAATGTACTGCTGACATAATAGGCAACTTCATCTTTGTCCTCCTGACACGTTTTGACCTAACCAGGGGTCTTCAACAGGGGGTCTATAACGATACCGCAGGGGGTCCGTCAATTATTCTTGTGAAAATATAACAAACGAACACACCTCAACCAAAGCTAAAATTCAGTTCAGTTTTAAAAATGAATGTGTAATGTACAAGTATGACTCATTTATGATGTTTATTGCAAATCCTACATTTTTTATGCACAAAGTACAGTGTGTAAATAAATTAACATTGTATTAGGTGTGTGTTTTTATAAGCCAAGCTTAAAATGCAAAATCCACAGAGAGGTTCTTGTCCTGGAAAAGGTGAAAGGCCAATGGTCTTTATGTGTCAGGCAATTTGTTAAAGATATAAAGGTCGGGATGAGCTGTTTTAGGGAAAGAAAAGTACCACTATGTCATCATGTCGCAAGGTCACTTTAGTGGTGTGAAAACCAATTACCTGGAAAGCGAGGCTGATCTCTCCAGCACGGCAGACCTTTATCAAAGAAGTGATTGAGGCTTTAGCCTGTGAACAACTAAACACTGTTCATTGAATAATCAGATTTCATTAATTCACGTGACATTTGTTTGAAGTGGCTATTAGTTTATTGCAATGATTAATAGCAGCAATTTGACTTTATTATATTTGTGTGATCCGCTGCTTTAATATGACATGGTGGTTCTGTTTCCCCAAAACAGCCCGCCCTGAGCTTGCTAGTTAGCGGCAAGCTTATGCTAGCTAATGTAACATCTATCAATCTTAATATGAAATGACAAGCTGTTTATTTGCTTTTCATAGCACAGTGGCCTAACCCCTTCATCAGAGAGAGAGAGAGAGAGAGAGAGAGAGAGAGAGAGAGAGAGAGAGAGAGAGAGAGATGGTTATTATTTATTAAATAAGATATTGCAGTGGCAACATTCTGTTGTGCTTAATTAATTACAACAATAATGAAAGGCTGAGATGT